GACTGGGTGTCGCCGAGTTTTGTTCTGAAACTAGACGGTCAGGAATTAGCTGAAGTTGACTGCTACTTGTACTTGTGTAGCTGCTTGACGAACGACGGTAGCGCATCGAAGGAGATAACCGCCCGTAGTTCCAAGGCTCGAGCAGCGTACGCAGGACTAAAACACCTGTGGCGGCGACGTGACGTTGAAGTTGAAAATTGGCGGATACTGCACCACCGTACGATCAGTGCTACTTTAATGTTGTGAGACCTTGAATTAACATGCAGAAGACACCCGTCATTAAGCAGTGTTCGACAATCGATGCTTACGTAGTCTGGCCGAAGTGAGATGGAGTGAGCGGGTTAGGCCAGCAGATGACGTGGAGACGAGGCATGAAGAAATGCACAGAGCGATTAGATAGAGTCGGTGTCTCTCGTCTTCCGGGTTGGGATACAAAAGACTCCGAAACCACATGGTTGGAGACATTGAAGGTCATGGCTGCGACCCCACAGCAATGGCGATCATGCTATCACTTCTAATCAAACCAGAATGCTTGAAACTGTATGTATGCACAGTTGTCTGCGTACTCTGTGTGTTGACCATAGAGGTTCACTTTCTTTTCCCGTCCCTAAAAATGGGCCTAATCCATATTTTTCTTACACATTCCCACTTATATTGTATGCATTAGGAGTTTGGCAGTGATCAGTGAGAAGTTCGCTTCAATGTATTGCGCTGTACAGTGATGACGATGATGATTTTCCAGCTAACGCAGATTGTTAAACAATCTGTTAATGTGCGGATAAGTGCGGTTAAGCGAAAGGGAGAGTTTCGTTTCAAACATCTGATAGCCTCTGAGTGGTTCACCTCAGTAGTTGAATGCTGAGTGATATCCGACGGGTGGCGCGAAACAGAACGCACCTCCTAAGGTTTGGAATTGAGAAGTCTAAGTGGACATTTGAGGATGGTTTTCCAAATGGGTACATAAGACATTGGAGCACGGCATACGTCGCGGATGCCCACACCAATGAATGGGTTCATTTTTAGGAACCCTAAACCGGAGCCTTTGACTTAAAAGTCTAACCCACAAGGTAGTGGGGCATAATTCCAAAGTGAACGAAGCACTCGTGTGGGAGCTTCTGGACACCTGTCACGTAAGGCCTTTGAATTTTGGTTCGATGTTTTGTTTGGTCCTCTTTACTGGATCGGCCCTTAACCTCATGCACCCAATGAGAACGGCACGGCACTTTATTGGGTGGGGCTGCCCAGCTTGGGCTGGCGGTAGCTGTCGAATAAAGTGCGAAGACTTCTCTCACCACCGAGACTCAGGAGAGCAGAGCGGTAAGCTACCGAGCGCGTCCCCAGATCGCGGATAGAGGAACGGTCATCTCGGGGCTAACCGTGAATACGGTGGGCTTCGGCCCACCGAATAAGTGGTCGTGGATGATCAGCAGCAGCGCTCGAGGATGCGGTGGGTTTACCTCCCAGCAAGGGTTCTGCGAACAGCACTGTGACGTCGCGAGTGTGGCCCACCACTAAATACAAACACTGCTCCTTGCTGAGATCCATTGCTCGACAAGGTTTTCCAGAAGAGGTGAATGAACCGAAGACTGGCCACCGGCTCATCTGGAACATTACTGTTGCCTTGCAGTCCGCGCTTGGTTGCGCAAAGGCTGGAGTGCATCCTCGAACAAGGTCTACTCTGGCCCGGGTGACCGAGTAGTACAATCGCCCGCAACGCACACAACTATGAACTGTATTGCTCCTATGACTATGTACTCTGATGCTTCCACATCGATCGAAAAACATTCTACATCGTACACACCCACTCGCTTTCTCAGCCTCCCTTCATCTTACCGCTCTCCCCCTCGGGTGCATCAGACGATCTTACTAACAATAGTGCCTCGGGCGGAAATTTTGCCGCGGTTCGCTCGTGTCCTACTTCGACTATCATCCAAGTCTCACCGAATCCTACACCAGCTGAATCCCTTTTCCGCCCTCGTGTCCTTTCAAACTAGCAACGTTTAATGTGCGTACTCTGATGCGTACAGGACAACAGGCGTGTTTAGCTCGTACGCTCGAAACCCTAGCCATTGATGTGTGTTGCATCCAAGAAACTCGCATTTAAGACTCCAGCTCCATTATCCGATTGACGACTCCATCAAACCCATTAGTCAAGTTTCACTTATGCCTCGCTGGGGACCCTGAGGTTGCGGCTTCTGGTCTTGCTGGCGTTGGCGTGGCTTTCAGTGAGAGAGCTGAGGCCGCCCTCCTGGATTGGATACCAGTCAACAGTAAGTTGTGCGTAGTGAGACTCAGAGGTTCGTGCAAGGTAAGCAACCGTCGCCACGATAGACGAAACCAGTTTGTCGCGTCGGTGTACGCTCCCACGTGCTGCAGCCCAGTTGTAGTAAAAGATGAATTTTATCATAATCTACTCGATCTCTTGCGTAAAGCGACCCGGACTGATATCGTGATTTTAGCAGGAGATATGAATGTTAGAGTAGGCCGGTTGACTTCGAGTGAGTGGGAGGTCCTTTCGGACTAAATTAATGTCGCTAGGAAAACAGCCACCGCCTTTCCCTCAGCAGTACGAATTTCAGACGCTCCAACTGCCGGTATGGCACCTGGCGTCCGCCCTCTTCGAATCCGCGACGGACGCAGATCGACCAAATCGCGATAAGCCTCAAATAGCGGGGCTGCATTTGAGACTACCGATCGTACTGCAGCACTCCCCTCGAATCCGACCACGCGTTAGTTTGCACCACGCTGTCCGTGTGCTTCGGTGGGCGTTCCAAGCGCACGACACAACGACAGCATACGTTCCGTGGTCTGTCTCAACAGACCCATCTACCGAGGCGGAAAACCGAAAGGAGATCTAAGCCTTGGGACGTCAGAAACCGCCGAGCTCCGATGGTCTTCCTCAATTGTATTCAAAGATGGTAGAAAAACGCTTGTCAGAGTACTCTCAAAATTGTAACACTGAGTAGGGCCCCCCTCGTGGGAGGAATCGAGTGTCGTTCCCATCTTCAAATAGGGCTCGTGCAGTGATTGCACCAATCACAGCGGTATAAGCCTTATCCCAATAGCGTCAAAGATGTTGGCGTCCATCATACTCCGCCGATTATACACTTTGCGTGAGTAGACCGCCGAATCGTGTCGATGCGCCGCTTTACATCATCCTTAGCCTGTCCATTGGGCAGGATGGTGGACCCAAAGTAGTTGAAGTCCGATACGATTTCTATTGTCCGACCATCCAGTTGCAGAGGATGTTCCGCTTGATCAGGTGGAGTAGCGAACATCGTGGTGTTTTTAGTAATAATCTGAAGGCCTATCTCAGTGGTAAATCTTTTGATACGGTCGAGAGCTGTTTGCAAGGCGGTCAGGTCCTCTCCAAGCACTAACACATCATCGGCGAATTCGAGGTCAATAATCCAGCAATCCGCGGAAACTTGGACGCCTTAGTAACCTTCCATTGCCCGACACAGAATCCAATCAACAGCGAAGTTGAACGATACTGGAGATAGCGGACATCCTTGTCTTACTCCTGACCGCAGATCGAAGGAATGAGACTCCTCGCCGTAGGCATGGATACGTGCTTTGGTTTGGGTGTAATGCGATTTCACTATATTGACCAACTTTGCAGGGACGCTATCTGCAAGCATTATCTTCCACGGTGACTCGCGGTCCACTGAATCGAATGCGGCGCGAAAGTCAATGAAACATGTAGCAGTGCGGTGCTGCAACTTGTATCGATGTTCCAGAATTCGCCTTAGGATGAGAATGTGATCGATACATCTTTTGCCGGATTGGAAGTCTCCTTGGTTTGGCCGCGTACTTGCATGACTCACTGTATCAAATCCATTAAGCACAAGCTGGGCAAACGCTTTTGCAGCAGACTGATGCCCCAATAATTTTCGCAAAGTTTCTTGTCGCCCTTCTAGGAGAACGGAAGCAAAACCGAGATGTTCCAATCAGTTGGACATGTTTCGGTCTCCCAAATAGAGCGAAAGAGAGAGTGAAGCGGTTTGATGACCAACGGAAGTCATTTCTTATATATTTTTACTGGGATTCCGTCTTCACCAGGGGCCTTGCCAGTCTTCAAGCGACTGATCACTGCGGTCATTTCTTCTATCGTTGGGGGTTCACAGTCGACCTCGTATGGGGACGCCATATCGGGATGAATATCCGCCGAATTGCCCAGCGGATGACTGAGAAGTCGACTAAGATTTTCTACCCGTATGGTCATTCTACCGTCGATATCGGAGATTAGTCCCCCGGAGGAGTTGCGCAGAACGGGTTGTAAAGATTGTCTTCTACCGGACGCTGATTTTATGAGGCGAAAGAGATCTTCAAAGTGACATGCACTGGCTGCGGTTCCATCTTGTTCGCTATTTCGTTCCAGTAGTTGCGCCGATCTGCTTTTACGGAGCGGGTTGCTTCCCGTCTGAGTCGCTGGTAATCGTGATGACCAGCTAGACGGGCGTTCCTGGCCAGGATTGAGCCACGGATTGTTTCCTCTGAAATCCAATCTTCGTAGGGGCGTTTCGTGATACCAAGTTTGTTTAGTGCAGCTTGTTGTACTGCAGCTTTTATCCTGGACCACTGCATATCAGTGGATTCCGGTACGATGACCCATGGGGTAGGCTCATTTTCCGTTCGGGTTTCAATTTCATCCATCCGTGTGTTAGATTTCTCGCAACACTATAATGGGCCCACATTGATGTGACTTGGAGGGGTGGTCTTAACACGAGTAGTCAGCCGAAGGCGAAGTTTCGCACGAACCAGCCACTCCTGTTGCCCGCTTCAGCACCGCGATACGATCTACAGTCTTCTACTGTTTCTATCGATAGGACCGCACTATGGAGCTGTTTGTTGGGGAATGGAGAACCTGAGAAGTATGTGTCGATCCTCAAAGAGTTGTATCGTCATACCTCAGGTCGGGTTAGGGCCTATGGCCAACTTTCGCCACCCTTCGCCGTCTCCAGTGGAGTTCGGCAAGGCTGCCCTATATCCCCATTCCTTTTCAACTTCGCCCTAGAGGATGTTCTGCAGAATGCTTTGTCCAGTCTAGCAAACGGTGGAGTCGAACTCCTCCCAGGAAACAGAGTTCTTGACTTGGAATATGCCGATGACATCGCTTTGCTTGGTGACAACACACAGGCAGTCCAAAACGCTTTGAACCGCTTGGCGATAGAGGTATCCCGGTATGGGACACGATTTGCACCTTCCAAGTGCAAAGTACTCGTTCAAGACTGGCAGGAGCCTGTGCCTGCACTCACCATCTCTGGTGATCAGCTGAAAGTAGTTGAGGACTTTAAGTACCTCAGGAGCTTGATCGCAGCTGGTAGGGGTATTGGGGAGGAAATCACATCACGAATAGCGAAAGCGAGAGCAGCTTTCACCAACTTGCAACACCTGTGGCGCCGCCATGACATCCGACTATCCCTTAAGGAAAAGGTGTACATGGCCGCGGTTCGTAGCGTCCGCCTTTACGGTTACGAGACCTGGCCCCTCCGCGTTATGGATGCTAATCGACTTTCTGTATTAGACCACCGATGTCTCCGAAGCATTGCTCATGTCTGGTGGGAACACCAAATTCAGTTTCAGTTCAAACAACCATTAAGCTTGCATTTCCGTGCGACGCTTTTGGTTGCTGTCTTTTGGCTGCCCATTTGGGTAAACAATAAGAGGAAGACAAGATGGTTGAAAGTAGGATCGAAGAGAAAATTGAGAAGTTCAGTGGACTATTGATGCAGATAAATTGAGATGCATAAACGCCACTTTTTACGACACCCAGTCATATCATTTAATGTCTAACCATCGGTTACGATCATCCAGAGGTCCCCAATCAAGGTGTTAGTGTTCGTGAGAAAAACGCAACTGGTCTCCCGTTCTGTGATAGTATAGCGGCTATTACTATCTCTGAAGCATCGGTTTCCAGCACTAGAGTAGTGTGAGGATCGACCGTTGTCGTCACAGCTCGGGCAAGTTCATTTTTCAGAACATCATACGCAGCTATGACGCTTGTTGGGAGCGGGAATGTGTTGTTGTTGACCAGAGGGTTGTCAGCGAAATGAGATAACTACTGAGAATAATACGCGAATAACCCAGAAACCCGTTGTATCGATTTTTTATCTGGATGAGGCGACGGCTTTAACAGGGGTCGTAGACGGTCCGGGTCGGTTTTGATGGGTCTATGAGAGAGTTCATACCCCAGTATCTTGATTTTTTCTGTGTTGATGATGCTTTTAGTGTCATTAAGGGTGAAGGAGTACTTACGAGCAACCTCAGAGAAACGATCCAAGTTTCTCCGATGTTCTTGCCCAGAGGAACCACATACCGTGATATTGTCTAAATAGGCGAGTCACTTCCAGTTTCCCGTTCCCAATGATTTGATCGATCGGTCCACCATCCTGCCCAATGGACAGGCCAAGGATGATGTAAAGCGGCGTATCGACACGACTCGTACGGTGTTTCTGCAGCTCCGAACCACCCTATGGCGCCGGAATGAGGTCAGCCTCAAAATGAAGCTCAGGATATTTGCCACAGCGGTTTGACCAATCCTACTATACGGCTGCAAAACCAGGCCGCTGAGAGCTGAGGACATCCGACGATTGGAGGTGTTCGATAACTGGTGTCTTCGATTCATCCTAAAAGTAAACTGGCGAGACAGGGTCTCAAACTCGGACCTCAGAAATCAATGCTACGTTGGAAAACAAACTGGATTAACATTTGCAAGGATCTTGCAGTCAACCTCCAAGCATGGATAGCGGCCATCAGAGGCATTCACGGAGTCGGCTTATCTTTTCCAAGGAGCCAGCCGTGGTAAAGTAAAAGTAAAGCACCCAAGACAGTCGTAAACAAACGGTAGGCTCAACTGGTCTTACGGGTGGAAGTATAAGCACACATTCACGGGGCAAAGAGAACCAGGCAAGCAAGGACGGGGCACTCGGTTTGCACGCTATGGGGTTGGTGAATACTTTTGGTTCCTATGCCACCTGCTGGATGAACGCTCACAAACAACAGTCTCTCGACATGGAAGTGAGATCAGGTATCCTTTCCCTTCCTTCCTATTTTCAGCAAGGGAGGTAGCGGACTATTCTGCGCAGCGGTGTGCGCTAAACTTGGCTGCATAACACCGAAGAACTTCTGGAAATTTGATTGGCCGTGACGATTTTGTCCTGTGCAAACTGAATTGGATTCGTTTGCTTCAGTGCTTCTTTGGCCATATTCTGTTAAATACATGGAATTTTCCTCAGTTAAATGAAATACATCACTGGTAATTTAAAACCGACTAACAGTATTTTACAGCTGACAATTAAAATTGAAAAATAATGACAAATCGACAATCATGAACAATGATACTGGTATAACTGACCTTGGAGAAAACATATGCATCAGAGTCCCAAAGGAACTTTCGGTGGATGACATCTGTTTCAGCATTTCTGTTGTTTCTTCCGGACTAGGGTTAGTAGAAGAAAGCGCTGAACCCCCGGCAGTAACCAACGGAGCACTATACACTTTATAGACGATTGTGACATTCCATCCTGATGTAGGACATTTGTAGCTTCCACTTATGGAATCCGGCATGCCAGCAGGAGTAAACTTGATGACAGAAGTCCAATAACGTAGTGCCTCGTGAGTAGGGGTTGAATTGTAATCTGTATCCTGCTCCTTTGGTAAATACATTATGTCCGTGGAAAGCATTCCACTGGCAAAACCTTCAGAAATGTAACGTCCACAGCCGCCAGGAATTGGATCTAGAAAAAGATGAAAACTAAGAAATCCGAATGCTCGTACACTGGAAGTTGTATGCATCAACACGTGCTCCTCCACGAACAGGAGCATCGTAACTTGTGTAAATATATAAAGTGATGTTCTCCCGAGGACTTGTAAAAATGTATACTAGTCCGCAATGAGATGAAGACTGTGTTGCGTATGCATCAAAAGATACCAGAGTAGAAACCATAACAGGATTGAACGGTGTGTGTAGTTGCAAAATGCAGAATTTCGCATCGTTAGGAATCTGGGTGAATATAATACTACTGATACCACTTGGAATCGTTACATTTTCGAAAGTTCCGTGAACTATGCGGGAAATTATTGGTATGTCGTCACAGAAGGACAGAGAAGTCAGCACGGAAAACGCGATCAAGAGGAAAACAAAAGACGACATCGACCTTGAAATCGAAGTTTCGCCAGTTCAGTTCCAGTCCAGTCCAGTCCAGTCTTCACAGGACGAATAATGGCTCTTGCCAATCGAGC